AGAAAAAAATAGTTTGTGAGGAGATGCAGCCCAATTGTCTGCAGAAAACTTTGCAAATTTTCACCTCAGCTAACAAGCATAAATCTCAAGAGATCCAATCATCAAACAGAAACCAACTCTGAAAGCTACTGGCATCAATACCAAGTAAACCAGATCAACATCATTCAAACCAAACACAAAAGGCTAAGTGACTGGCAACAGCAGTCCAATAGTTTATCCACCTTCAGCCGGACTGAAAATCATTTCCTGCACTCAACAAGACAACATATCATTTCTACCGCCTCAAAAAATGTTGATACTAATCCATTTTCAGACAATCATAATAAGTAACTGAAAAAAACATTCAAACAAACCTGATCACACACAGGGCAGGTGTCACTTCTCTCCATCCATCCTAGAATACAGGCCAGATGAAAATGATGTTTGCATTTCGTGATGATTTTTGGGTTCTCCACATCGTACTCTGCAGAACTCCAAAGGTTCAACATATCAAGCTAAAAGTTCTGTCATAACTCATGTACGTCATAAGGATATAGCTCCATAGCCAGTTAAACAAAAGGAGAAAAAGAAAATTTCAGTTTGAAGCATTATTTGCAAAGTCAACCCTGACTTATTGCAATTAACCCCAACTCCAATTGTACCTTCAAGACAAGTTGGACAGACATCCTCCTCCTCGTGCAGGGGTGGGAACATAGGTTCAATCGACTTTTTAAGATCCTCAGAATTTTCATCCTCTAATGCCCCCAGCTCGATATTTGCACTGCCCTTTTCGTCACATTCAATGTCCTTCACGTTGGTCTCCAAGTTGCTGCCTGAGTTAACATCCCCAACAGAATGAGTGTTGTTCGCTGGTGGAGGAAGATATGTATCAGGGACCGTGGTATTTAAATTTGGGTCTACCAAGAGCCCGGAAGGTTGAGTGGAGACAGCCGCATGGTGAGTTGATAAGGGCACACTTTCTTCTGATGCTGGATACTGGGACCACGTGTGATTCCAATAGAACCGAATGATGTCAGTGATGAACACGAATATATTATTACCGGTAATAATATTTGGAAGTGGGGAAACAAAAAAAAAAGGAGAACGGTGGTGGCATCAGTATAAACAAAAATTATAATAGAAAGTTCCTTGACATAATAAAACTACTAAAAGAAAACACGAGATGATAGGGGAATGTGATCTGGACAAGAACTTCATTGCTTGCACTCATTGTTTATAATGAGTAGTGAATAATTTAAATTATAAATTCTCCCTGAGATATATTAGTAGCTAAAGAGTAAACAAAATAAAATATATATATATATATATATATATATATATAATATAAGTACAAGTAAAGCTTCCTTGAGGTTTGTATTCACCTTACAAATGCCACCTCCTGAGCAAGACATGAGCAAATACCACTGGGTACCTCTAATCCTAAAAAAAAAAAAAAGGAACTGAGCAGACCATGCATGACAAGAACAAACTTTCAAGAGCAAGAACACGGAGATATCAAATTGCTACATTACTTCTATAATCATAAATGAAACCATTTTCCCATAGGTCGAAACTCTGAATTCTGCTAAAGAACTTTCAAGAGTAGATGGCTAATAGCTCTTTGACCTAAAAAGTGGCAAAAACATCGATGCAATATTAACTTGCCCTGTGGGTTGTTCATTATGCTTGAATAACTAGTAATTAACGAACAGCTAAATGTGGTAGTCTGGTCATTTCAACAATATGCACTTTGCGAGCAGAACAGACGCAACTTTTTAATTCCTGTAACAATAGCTGAAGTCATAATCAGAGCATGCTCCCAAGCAAAAGCAACACTAGGGCTCTCCACTATAGTATCAATAGGGGAAACCATTCATTTTCACTAAATTTTAATGTAGAAAATGGCCACGGAAATCATGCGGAATTGGCCTATATTGTTCCAAAATATCAGTCAAGTGGATGCTAGATTTGGTTGGACACAGGTGCACAAAATGCTAGAAACTCAAAACATTGTTTGCAAGCCAAGGCAAATAGTTAAAAGACTGGGAACCTGCATAATCTCCATCAGAACTTTACAACATAGTTTTCCTGCATAGACAAAATAGATAACATGCCAGATCCCATTTAACTTCCACGAATATGATTGTCAATTATTCTCCTTATTATACATATGGTGCACTCCCAGGCAGATGACAAATGTCCTAAGGACCTGATAATAAGTTAAAGTAGAACACATTTTAAAATACACAATAGTCGCTGTACGCCTGTCCTTCAGCTGGTCATTCTCTTAGGGAACTAATCTTACAATATTATATGGAAATATCAATTTTAACCTATTGAAAAACAGCTACTGCTATCCTGCATATAAATGATTGGGATATATTATTATATTGAATTTCTCGTGGTTAGTACAAAATCAAAGGATCTTTCCATATTACTGCACCAATGAAAAGCAAAAACACTAACATTATATTCTCGAAGTTACATACAAGATAGGATAAGATTAAGCAGTTTAGAACCATAAACAGATGAGGTAAGAGATTTGACTTACATGAAAGGTCCGTGAGCTATTAAGTTCAGTGCCCTTAGATGCAGAGCAACAGGCTCCCATCTTTATTTAGTGATATTTTTTAACCACCAGAAGCCACCTGGCACTTGGCTCATTGTTCTCTTCTCTGCATAATTATAAGGGGAAAACATGGAGCAAGCAACAATAAGCAATCACTCCATCGAGCCTAAACTGTTATATCACTTGTTGATCATAACTAAACAATCATACAGTCATCACTATTCAGAAAGAGAACAAATTATGTCAGGGGCAGGAAGAATTGGATAGGACTTGATGCAATATTGATCATGATTCCACTACCATATCAGCCAAAGCCAACTCAATTTGGAATGCAAAAATGAGTGAAACAATTATATTAAAAGAAAACTGAAAATACATGATGCCGATTCAATCGGCATGAGGGTGAAGAGGCGTTAACTAGAATACATAAGGAAACATAATCTTTCCAGAATAGAAAATGCTACTTTGTCTAATAGTTCTGGGAATATATAGCTGAGAAACTGAAAGTGAAGACAGCCATCTCAGTTGGCGTAGGACCAGTATGTTGCATGTATACATCATCAAGGAATAAGAAAAAAATAAAAAAGAAAAAGAAAAAAAGATGGTAATACCACAATTGATTAGGAAGATGGACAAATTTTCAACTTTTCTAATCTAATGAACCCAAGTGTGTTTTCATACTATTTTAGAAATGATGATTTCATTCTCTTATGACTGTGTCTCATATTTAATAAGATTCTATAACTCTGTTTATATCTCAATTCCCTATATAAGTATCAACCTAGTTGACTGCACACAGTTCATCTTTCACCAAAATCCAACAAACTATTGGAACCCTAGTGAACTAGCAGTTCGGAAAAGATTCAGATACTACTTCAGAACAAAGCTTTGCCACATTTTCCATTTAGTATTTAACAACAAAATATAACATAGTTCGACTCTGGTGATCAGCGATCTCTTACCATCAATACAATAACAGAAACTCATCATATGCCACACAGACTGTTCAATCAAATTGAAGATGTCATGTACGCACCACTAAATTAACGAATTCAATCAGAATACGCCAATGTTCTTTACACTGATATAACTCTTCAGCTAAAGTACACCTACAGTCACAGATAAGTAATCACTGGAAAAAAGAGGTAGATGAAGAAGGGAATAACGTAATGCCAAGATTGCATTTAATTAACTGTAGTGTTACATAAGAAAGAACGTTTATCAACAACAGTTAACTCAATCAGATGTTCAAAATCCACAAGTATGAGCAAAATTATCCATGGATTCATTCACAATAACAGACGACATCCAATCATTTCTCGCATCTATAAAAACTCAAAACGAACCATCAAAGTTAAAATCCATGGGAAACAGATTTACTCGGCCAATTCAAACTCACTGAGGAGTTCTGCAACTCGTGAAGGAGAGTACACACGTATAAACAACGCACCAGCCAATACAATCGCATAAACACAAAGAACAAGCACAAAATGTGAAAAAAAGCACGTGCACTTGTGCGTATCCATACCTCTTGGTCAGGAATGGAACCAGCAGAGACCTATGGCTGCGTGTCTCTGAGTGTGTGCGTTGAGAGAGAAAGAGAGAGTTTTACTAGTGGAAGGAAGACGACCGGGAAAGTTGGAAAAAGAAACAAAAAAGAAATGAGAAATTGCATTGTAACACCCAACTAGTATGAGTACCGTGCACTGCACGGGTAAGAGATATTCATTAATATTTATAAATTAAAAATTTTTTATTAAATAATTTTTGTAAATTAAAAATATAGAATCAAATACCTATATTAATTTGTTAAAAATATTATATAAAGTTTAAATTGTAAACAATTACATAAAAATGTCTATTTAAAATTAGTACACAACCCATGCGATACATATAACTGATAATAAATTACATTATATTCGTTTCAAAATAAGTGTCATTTCAAATTTTTTATTTAGAAATTTGATTTGACTATAATGTGATTACATAAAATAATTATTTTGGTAAAATTTTATCATATATTTAACAACATATGTGAATAATAATTATAAAATATAAAATTTATATTGTTTCATTACTTAAAATAATTTATTTTTGTATAAACTATCAAATAAAAAAAATTAAGTAGTTGAGTAATTTATTGAACTATAAATAATTGACTATTTCATTCACATCCAAGTTAATATTGACCCGTAAGTTATGAATAATTGTTTTTTTTAATTTTAAGTAAAAATATGTTTATTTTTTTATATATTATATACCAAATTTAAACTATGCAACTAATAAAGGTAATAACTGCAAGTTTTGCCAATGTATTATATTTGACATTTAAATTATTCAACTAATAAAGGTAATAGCCGCAATATTTGACCAAAATAATTTTGTACATTAATTACATTAACTTAGGCAAGATTTTCAAACTTTGGCAAGAAAAAAGAATTGCCCAATTTAGTATTTCTGAATTTTTAGGCGGGAAAACCAAATATTTTTTTTATTGATTTTTAGTTACTATTTCAAGTAAATATCATTGTCTTTTTATATATTAATAGATGTCATATTTTTGTAGCATCCTATGACACGGGATTTCACGATTTGTTGATTATTAGATATTTAATGATAAATTGTTTGAATCAAATAATTTATTGACATTAACGTTAAAACAAAATATTATTTAGTAGTAAATTTAAATTTATATCATTCATGATATTAAATACTAAATATTTGATTTTATGTTTATATTAAGTATATATTACTTAGGTCACATAATTTCATAATTTTTAATTACTTATTTTGATTAATAATCAAATAATTTATTCCTTTTTCTTTTGAAAATCTAAGGACTTTTTTTTTTCTCCCCCAACGAAATGAAATGAGTCTAACTGGTAAAAGAATGTACTTTGTCAAATAATATATAATTGGATGTGATTTACTTGCCAAACATTGGATGTGATTTATTGGTTAATAAATTTGTTAAGCGGGACATGCAAAAAATTTCAAAAATATTTGCTGAAAATTGTTCAAAATGAAAAACAGAAGCGGGAAAGAATGACTAAAGAAGCGGGAAATGAAATATTTTTTTCAAAGTTTTTCAAATAGTTTTTCTTCTCCTTATTATATAATAATAGATTTTTAGAATCGTATGGAATATGGATGCAAGGCTGAATTTATTTTTTCTCGAATTGAATGTTTTAATTTAAATTATTATCAATTTATAATTATTTTTATATCTATATATATAATTACTAGCTCAAAACATTTAATAAAACCTATTTAATTTTACCTATGTGGCAATTTAACAATTTTCCCTCCAAAAACCGTTACATTCTGATGTATTTAATCTTTCATTTAATCATTAAGTAATTAATACTCATCACTTCAAAATTACAAAAATTATTTTAAATTTTTTATTAATGACAGTTGACCATATAATGTGTTGACCGTATAATGTGATTGAATGTTATTATTGTTGTTACATTTAATTTTTTTTTAAAACTAAAAAATATATTTGAAATTCCTAAATAAATAATAAATAATTCACAAATAAAAGACGTACCAAAATATACATTACATCCAGACAGATAAACGCAATTTAAAAAAAAATATTCCAACTCTTTTAATTGTAAATTTGGTCTGCAAAAAAGTGAAAGAAAAATAATTAATCATTATATGCATACAGACTCACAATAATTTATTTATATCTGTGCAAATGCACAGGTCGAATACTAGTATTACTTAAGGTCCGACGCACTTTCCTTTTGACATAAATAAGTAAACGAGAATATTATATTTTAAATACTTATATAATAAATATTAACTACATTTAGTAATTTAAATAAGAAAATTAATTCATATATATATATATATATATATATAAAGAAAATGAAATTTACTAAAAAAGTAACAAAAGAAAATAGAAACATTTAATTCATATATTCCTTAGAAATTTTTAAATGTTGCGTTAATCGTTTGTATATACATGCAAAGGCGAATTTACATTAGTGATAGGGGGCAATTGTCACCCCTCAAATTTTAATTTTTTTACTATTACTATTAAAAATTTTAATTTTTCCCCCTTTAAATTTATTTTTGCACTCCCAAATTTTTTGTTTTTAAACGTTACTCACCAGCCAACTTATCCACAATTGTCAATTAACAATTCAACACTTTTTTTATTTTACTCTTAATTTCGTATATTAGTTTTTATCATTCTATAATTTTAATTGGCCTATATAAAATATTTCAACTCCTGGTATTTTTTGACTGAAAACCGAAACTCGAACTGAACTAAACCGAACCGATGAGAAAATAAACCGAATCGAACCGACTTATGTGTAACGGTACTGAAAATCGGTTAACGAAATATTATCGGTTCGATAGCGATTCTGAACCCATTAGGGTTCGATTCTGAACTCATTATATCATGTCTTTTGCCCCCTCTCAAATAATTTTCTAGTTTCGCCCCCGTATACACGTTCCCAAATCAGATCAAATCGATATGATCAAAAATATTCTTTTCTTAAATAATTTTATTAACATTTGTAATAATTTCATACATATTCATTAAATAAAATATAAATTGATTTTCTATGATTCATGTTGATTATATTTTTATCAAGATAAACTTGAAAATGGATTTTCAGTTCCAACAATTTTATTAACTTTTTTTTTACAAATATTAATTTTGCATCCTAAAATATAATAGAAATCATAATAGGATGGGTAAATTTAATCCTTCCAATTAGTTGGGCAAAATCAAGTTCGTGAATTAATCTTTGTCAATATTATTTTTTATAATCTTTATATAATAAAAAATTAATAATTTTTTAAATTAGTATAATTATCATTTAAGAGATAATGACATACATTAAATAATCTTCCTAATGGCAATATAACAAAATTAAAATATATTTAACTCTTTTTTAGAATTTCAGCATGTGATTTATTTGTATATTATCATCAATCATAATTAAAAATTTTAATCAATTTTTATTTTGATTTCTTTGCATAATGAAATTATTGTAAAATATCTTTTCATTGCATAGTATAATAGTAAACTATAAAGCCTTATGATACAAATAAAAAAAAAATCTCTTTATTATATAAGATATTTATTTTTTTGTAATTTATAAATCAAAGTCGTTTAATTATTATAAAGAAAAAATAAATTCTGATGTGTAATGGCTAAAAAAACTTTAGAATGACTATTGTATTAATTGATTAATTAACATAAATTAACTTATAATATGTTGTTTTTCTCAATGTGACCAAATTGCTTTCTTTCCTTTCTTACAAATTAGTTGTTATTGTTGATCTGATGAGATTTTTTTTTTTTGTTTTTTGAATTATTATGAGGTACAACGAATACCAAATATTGTATAAAATCACATGTGTGTATATTTTGTAAAATACTTATATATAATATTTTATTTTACATATATTTATGTAATTTTAAATTAATTATATTAATAAATAATATTAGCTTATGTTAAATATTTTTTTGTTATATGAAATAAAAACAAGAAAACTACTTTTATAAATTTATAAATAATAATAATGGCATTATATGACAACAGAGTTTAAAATAAAAGTACTTGAATATTATATGGTGAATAAGAATCAGTAAAATTGTTATTTTTTTTTCTTATATCAAGAAATATATATATATACACACACACACACACACACACTAAAATCAAATTTATGTTACGATAAATGTATGCGGGATAATATATTAATTGAAGTATCGGTTATCCCTAGCAAGCCCAGGTTTAATATTCTAGCTAAACAAACAACATTTATTAAAAGAGATAATGATTAATTTAACATTTCTGTTCCGTGCATTGTACAAGCTACGATTAGTATTTATGAAAAGTTTAATAAAACTAATTTAAATAAGTGTTAGAAGAATTTAAAAAATAAAAAATTCTAAATATAGTTTTAATTAATAATTTAAATATATAATAAAATAAAAAATAAATATGTCATAAAAATATAAAATTAAAAAGTGAAGTATTAAAAAAAGGATATCGAAAAGTGAAGTATTAGAAAAAGAAAACTCAAACATGAAGTGATAAAAATAATTGAAAAGTGTATATAAATATTATTACATATTTAATTATATTATCATGAATATAATAGTAAATTATATAGTTTTTAAATTAACTACTAAAANTGAGAAATAAAAAAAAAAAATCAAGGCATTATATTGACACAATTCTAGAAAGTTGGGTAATGTGATAATAAAAAATTAATTTTAAACTAGATTATATTAACCAGTACTAAAGTTGATTATTAAATATAAAAGATCGGTGTGACGATTATTAATTAGTACTAAAGATGAGTATTAATTAGAAAATGTGAAATTTTAAACTATTTATATTTTCTAATTAACATTTATCTAAGATTGTTTTTGAATATTATTATATTTTAAATAAATATTTTTCTTTTCTTATCACTTTCGAACATATTTACTTGAATTCCATATGATATAATCTTCTATTCCTTAACTTACTTTTTTAATTTATTTTTTCAATTTCATTCTTGTTTATCTTTCAGTCTTTAAACTATGTTAATCTATATAGTTTAATTCATAATTAACATTTATCTAAGACTGATTTTGAACATTATTATATTTCGAATAAATGGTTTTCTTTTCTTATCACTTTCAAACATAACAATGTGAATTTGTATTATATGATATAATATCTTATTCCTTAACTTATATTTTCATTTCTTTTGTTTGTTTTTAATTTTATTCGTGTTTATCCTTCATTATTTAAATTATACTTATTTATATAGTTTAACTCGTAATTACCATCTGGTATAACCATATTTGGGCTAGCCAATATACCACCAAGCATGCATAGGTAGACTAGGTGGCCTGACAAGCCCATAGCTAAGACGATCCGAAGGTCGTCCTCAGGAGCACATGGATGATTGGAGACTTGGGAATGGATACAAGGACAACCTCTAAGCACTCGGACGACCTATAGGCCCTCGGACGACATGAAATAAGGGCTAGATTGGCTCGACGACCTATGAAAACGACCACAACAACCTAATGGTTATGATGCAGATGTATAAAAGGAAGAAGATAATTCTATGGAGATAATAAGAAATCTAATGATGACTAGTGATTAAGATGAAGATAGCACTAAGCAGATAAGTATTGATAGAAGTCCTAAGTTTGTATGGACTATTGAACCATTATAGTTTATGCACAGGATTATGAAATACTAGAATTCAACATGTAGGATTACAAAATACCAAAAGTAAATATAAAACTACGAACTACTATTCTGATACATTGAATTATGAAAGTATCAAAAGTTGACACACAAAATCAAAATACTTTAAATTTTAAATATTTATATAGGAAGGGATTAACTAATATGATGCCTACTTTACTATGAAAGTGATAGGCATAATAATAATTAGATTAGTTATTAGTATNTTTTTTTATGGTTTTCACCATATTTAGCAAAACAGATTTGTCTAAATCAGCTGGGTTTAATTGTCAACTATATCTTATTATATTTAACAGTTTTACATAGCAAAACATTACCATAAATGTTCATAAACATGATCATTATTAAAAAACAAAAAAGCCAGATGAGATAATTCACATGTCATTCTTAGACAAGCATGAATCATGATGCACTTTCTCCGTATGCATGACCTAAGAAAAACATACACAATCTACATTCTCTGTCATAATCTATGACAGTACAGCCAATATACATATAAATTGATAATCCAGATCTACAATCTGTAGTCAACTGTATTAGATAAATATAATTATGATTACATAAAATAAATTACTGATTATACATTTAAAATTGCAAATGTTACAATTTTTATATGCAAAGCAAACACGTCGTGATAAAAGAGATATCATCACGATCTTTCGCATTCCATTTTTTTCATTTAAATTTGCACGTGTTGCATATAAAATCCACCCGTGATTATTGCATCAAAACGTTATTAATAAATAAGTGCGGAGTTTCGTGAAGGGACTAACGGTGCAAATTTTAATCACATAAATAGACATGCCATATGGGATTATACGTATCTATCATTATATTAAAAGAATAACCTTTTTATCATTTCACGCCAAAATCATTATTTTCCTTCCAAAATCATTAAATACCCGCCAAAATCATTATTTTTCCTCTAAAATTATTAAATACGCTAAAATCATTATTTTCCCTCTAAAATCATTAAATAAATAGTGATATAGTGTTAACAAAAAAACCTGCGCTGGTTTTTGTGATGTTTTTCTTTTTCCTATTTTGTTAGGTTAACAAAATAATACATGCATGGTTTTTGTGATGGTTCCTTTTTCCTATTTTTGAGGTTAACAAAATAATAGATATTGTGTTGATTTGTTTCCCTTTTCATTTAAACTTTTTAGGCAGAAATTTCGAAACATTATATTTGATTTAATGTGTATATATTTGTTTTTTTTTTCCTTTTTTTTGACCGAAGGTGTTTATTAAATTAGCCTTATAATATTTTAGTTACTTTAAACAAATTGTTTAGACATTTGTTTTTTACATATTCGTCTATATATACACATATACACATATACATAATTGATGTTAAATTTAGTTATTTGTAGACATGCTTTTTTTGCAAAATAGTCTAGAAATTTTTTTTTACATAATGTTAAATTCAAATATTTTTAGATATGTTTTCTTTTTAAAATTGTTTAGAAAAGTTGTAGGTGATTTATATCTTTTAAAAATAATATAGAAAATTTTGAATACTTTTACATATACTAATATAATATTTTAGGTGTTTTCAATATTAAATATACAAATTTTATATTCTATTATACAAAATAATGTAAAATTTATATTCTCTTATACAAAATAATTTTACATTGTCTGACCCCGACACTTTAATATATAATTATTATTTTTTCTTCCCCTTTTTAAATAGGATCAATAATAGTTTCCACTTTCGCCATTGAGTGACTCAAACTTGAGGTATATTTATAATATTGTTAATGTAATATTGTTACCGTGCATCGCACGGGTACACACTAGTATTAGTGCATATTCCGTGATATTAATGTTCCTTTCTAAAGTTAAATGATTGAGGAAATAAATATATTAAGTTTTTTTTTTATACATTAAATGTTGGACTAAACGATCATATTAAATTATTTTTAAAAATTAAATATTAGACTAAATGAACATATTAATCAGTTGAATAAATCTAATACTAATTTAAGGTGATTTTGTACGTATTCTTTCAAGGTATACCCAATATTATTAGTATGTGTATTTTTTTGAGATCACACACAAGTTTAAAAGTATTTACTAATCTAATTTCTCATTCATTTATTCATTTATTAATTGTCTTAAATTTTAAAGATATCATTTACTTTATAAATTAGATCAAATTAATATAAAAAATTTATTTATGAGATTTTATAATTTAATCTTTTCAATGACCTCTTAAGAATAAAATATAAATTAATTTCAAATGTTAAGGTATCTAAAAAAGAGCGCGTGATTTCTGCATTTGTTTTATATATTTGTTAGATAATAGATTAACAAATATTGAACACTTTTGAGAAAACATTTCGAAAAACATGTCTTATTCTTCTTTACCTCAATTTTCACTTAAAAGATTATGAACATGGACTTGTTGGAGAATTATGTTGATAAACTACTAGAGGCGTTGTAATCATCCACATGTGCCCCGATGATGAATAAGTGCTTCCAAGCAGTTGACAACATCTTACGAGCCTTAATGCAAGTAGCGGATCCATCGAGGAAAAATCTCTCATTTGGCGGCAAGTCTGTTATATTTGGTGGCGATTTCAGACAGATACTCCCTGTTGTCCCTAAAGGCAGTCGGAGTGACATAGTGAATGCGACCATAAATTCATCCAAGTTTTAGTGGGATTTTATCGTTCTAATACTAACTCAGAATATGAGGTTTAGAAGTCTTAGTGGGGTCATGAGTATGATGAGTTGAGGCTCTTTTCGGAGTGGCTTGCAAGGATTACCGACATTACTGTCGGTGGATCGAACGACGATTGTGACGATATTGACATTCCCAACGACATTGTTATAAAATCACAAAGGGATCCTATTGCTACTATTATTAGGAGTACCTACCCTATATTCATGAGTCAGGAGACGATCTTAGCTATCTCAAGGACAAAGCATACTCACTCCCACACTTAATGTCGTTGAGTCCGTTAACGAGTACATGAACTCATTGAACTCCTCTGAGGGAAGGACTTATTTGAATATTGACGCCGCTTGTAAGTCAGATGTTGGATAAGACTCTCTTCATAATATTCATACTCCTGAATTTCTCAATGGGATTAAGTTCTCGGGGCTTCCGAATCATAAATTGCACTTGAAGCTGGTCGGCACTCCAGTGATGTTGCCGGATATTACTAAGCTCGGCTACCATGTCTTCGAATGCTCTCTGTCGCACATCGACTTACTACTGAAGAGCCCTCTATTTAGTCTTGGGAAATTGTACGTGCCTCTTTCTTGAGTCACGAGTCGAAGGGGTTTGAAGATAACATTTTATGGTGATGAGGATTTTAACGATAAGAAAATCATGAATGTTGTATATAGAGAAGTGTTTAATAATATATAGATTTATCATCTTAATCTTTTTATTAATTAATTTATAATTTTTACTTTTTTTTGAAATTTTTTATTATTTTTTTCTCTATTAATTAATTTATTATTTTTTCTTTATTATTTTTTAATTAATTAATAATTTATAGAGAAGTGTTTATTGTTAATTAATCTATGCAAGTATAATGAATTTCTTTTTTGGCTTATGCAAATATAAATGTTGTGTATTTTTAGAATAGTTTTCGTTTTTTATTTATAATTGGCTGATATTATTTAGTGATAATTATTATTATTATTATTATTATTTTTGTATTTGTAATGTCATGTTAGCAAAATTTATAATTTCGAGCTTGCACTTTTGTTAGAATGTACGACAATGTAAGTCTAAAGCCATCTTTAAATGCAACACAATCACACACTTAAATCACCATTCTTTCATAATATATTTTGTTATAATATCTCGTTAAGTTCTATTTTCAGTTATATAATATTTAAAATATTGACATATATCAAATATCCTAAATATAATATATACGGTCTAAACTAAACTATAAAATGTAAGTAGAAGCATTTTCTTATTATGAGTAAAAACTAAAAAGTATGTTGGCAGTTTGTAATATTACTGGGCTAAGGCCAATATTTTTTTTCGTATCTTTTCATTACAAAATAAATACTATATTTTAAAGTAATATAAATATAAATAAATATCTAATAATATAAGTTCATATTTTTTGTTGCATATATGACAGGTTGACCCTATACCGACCACACAAGAATTTATGAATAAAAGTCCAAATTTCAATTTTTCTTTTACAAGCAATGAGATGCACAAGTGTGGCAAACTTCACTCTCTACAAAGATGCATGCATACAGCACAGATACCTATATATATATACACTGTTCTCTCTCTCTCTCTCTCTCTCTCCCTCTATCTAAGCATCTCCCTTCCTTTTGCAAATTGCTACTCTTTGGTGAGTAATACTGAGATTATGTGAGCAAGGCCAAAAGGTCCGGTTCAGCTCGCCGCTGCCCTTTCCTCCGGTGCGTACAGTGACAAATAATTATGGATTCTACACATTCGTGTAATTTTTAGCTGGATTATGTGTCTGTTGCTTTGGTTTACCGCGTATGACACAATTTAGCCCCTATAAATTTCGTGCCAATTGATTTTCTCGAGTTGCAGTAGCTTAATCAGTGTCTTTGTGTTCGATAATTTTTATTGAGCTAAATCTAGGCCTCTGGGTGGGACTTCTGTGTGGGTGCTTGAAGTCCTGTTCTGAGGTCAATTTCATGAGTAACATTTTGTTTTATTTTTTATTCTGAAATTCTTTTGAAGAGGGCTGGCTAGCAAGCTCTTTGCAAAATTTTGCAGATTTTGTCTGCCCTTTTTCGTTGTTCAATGGTTTAGGAGGCATTTTCTTTGCCTTT